AGCTCTGAGAGGTTCAGGCACACCGCACTGGTGCTTTGGTGGGGAGCTGGACTCTGCTCACCTTCAGCAAAGCAGAGGGGAAGAAGATTTGCACAAGGCAAACAAAGTTCCTTTTACTTCTGGGCCTCTTCTGAGCCTGGGGAAGCAGCAAGAGGAAGGGCAGGGCTCAGAGGCAACAGAACACCTCAGCTAAGGTCCATTTAAGAGATGAGGCTCACTAGGGAGGGATGGGGACCTCTCCATCCACCCTGCGCAGTGGACAGGGTGAGGACAGCCCCTCTCTGGACCCCAACATCCCATCCAGCATCCCAACCCGTGCTCCTGGTGCCAGCGTGGCCGAGGCCCCCAGCAACCCATGAAGCCAAATGGGGCTGGAGCTGCTGAGACCTGAGCAGGAGGGAGGAATAATCCCCCCAAATCCCTTTGTCTCCTTTCCACCCACCAGTGCTGCCTTTACACAGCAATTACAGAGGCCTTGGGGGCTTTCACACCCAGTCACCTGGGCCTCCTAGTTCTAAACAGCTTCATTTAATGACTTGGGAGGCCCCGGGGCCCCCCTTGTTGTCTGGATTTGTTTCCCTGGTCTCCAAAAGGTTTTTCTCCACATGCAGCCACCACCCAGAACGAAGGGGTTCAGTGAAACACGCGCTTAAGACATCTCCACCCAGGTCCCGGGGGTCTCTGACTTCCAGGGACACACCAGCAACTCTGGATTCAGGAGAAAGGACCAGCCTTTGGATGGAACTTGTCCATCCACCAGGACAAGATATAGCCTGGAAAGGAAAGGGCAAACCAAAGCATGGTGTGAGATGCTGCTTCATGCTCTACATCCACCCTCCTGCCTGCCCCTGCTGCCAACCTGGGGTCGAAACACCAGGATGGCAAAACTGGGGTGTTCCCACCCTCACTGTTGTAACCTTGGGAAATAGAAAGGGTTGGGAGCGCTGGTGGTGTTTGACTGTTCTGTGCAAGAGCTGGGGCTGGGGGCCGACACAGATGGGATCCCAGAGGAGATGGGATCCCAGAGGAGATGGGATCCCAGTGGAGATGGGATCCCAGAGGAGATGGGATCCCAGTGGAGATGGGATCCCTGGGAGAAGCCCAGGGCGACGGGGAGTCCCACACCCCATCCGTTACCAGCACCTCCCTCCATTGTTTCCCAACCAGCGTTTTTCCCCATGACCTAATCTTCCCTTGGCTCTCGCTGGCAGTTTTATGGCAGGGAAGTTATGCTGCAGTAAAAGGAAAGCCGAGCCAGGCCATTCTCTTCCCTCCTGTTTTCATTTGGGGTTTCTGTTCGCTGCTCCAGGCACAGCAGAAGGATTGTAGGAGGCGAGATGGGAGCAAGCGTGTGCCGGGTCTGCTTTCCTTGTTCCTGTAAGAACACAAGAAGGCAACAGCGAGAGGGAGGTTTAGGCAGCTCCCCATGCAAACCAGCTCTGGACACGAAAGCCTTTTGGTTATCATCAGCATTTTGTCAGATTACATTAAAATCAACCTTCAGGCTCCGTTTCCTGCTCTCAAGAACCCCCCCAGGATTATAAAGCACAGGAACATTTCCCAGAAACCTCAATCAAGGATGGGTTATTTTCACTCTGTTCTCACACTAGCGGCAGCTCTCCACACTGTAGAAGCCTTAAAACAAGAGAAGAGGTGCTAAGATTGTTGCTGTGCAATATGCAGAGCTCGCAGTGTGAAGTTTTCCCTCTTTTCCCATTAGGAACAGCACCCTGGATGGAGGAATTTGCAGCAGAGTCCTTCCTGGAACAAGGACACATCACCTTGCCCTCACGTTGACCTGTCCCACTCACACAACACATAAGGAATCACATAGAAACCGTCCCTCTGAGCTGGCACAGAGGAACCTTTCTGCAGTCACCACCCTGCCACAGTCAGCTCAAAGGACGTTTAAGTAAAGCAACCAGGAGAAAGGTAACCAGGAGGCCCAGAGAAGCTGTGGCTGCCCCATCCCTGGCACTGCTCAAGGCCAGGTTGGACACAGGGGCTTGGAGCAAGCTGCTCTATGGAAGGGGTCCCTGCCCGTGGCAGGGGTTGGAGCTGGAAGAGCTTTAAGGTCCTTTCCAACACACACTACTTTTTAGGTCTATGAGCATGCGATACTAAACACAGGCACTTAGGGAGCCCAATGTACACCTAAAAAGAGACTGGCATTATATCTCTTCTAGAAACAAAACGACCCCATAACATCTGCCTTAGGAAAAGGGCACCCTGAGCCGAAATTCCCTTTCTTCCCTCCTGTCCCCCATAACCAGGCTTGCTCCTGAGGTTGGAGCATCCCCGGTGGGACTGATGAAGGCAGGGGCCAGCGCGGTGGGTTTGGGGTGCCTGAGCGAGCCCTTGGTAGCAGAGGAGCCGTTCGCTTGCTCGGAGCCTGCTGCCTGCGTGCGCGCACGAGAGCGGCTGGGTTTTAATTGCAGCCCCGTTGCCAAGTACAACAAAGCCCGCGGACAAAGAATAGGAGTCGTTTTGTCTTTGGGTTCGGATTGTTTCTTTCCTAAGGGGAGGGGCGGGAGGTGAAATCCATCCCTTTATAAGCAATGACTCAGGTGCTGCGATCTACCCAGGGCGCGCATCTCGCAAGCCCGAGTGAGGTTTGGAGCCGTGTTTTGTTTGGCGCCGCGGGCCCTGATAATGGGGTGATTGTTCGGTTGCGTGCAAAGCCCTCGCTCGGGCTTTGCCTGTCCCTGCCCAGCCCTTGCAAACCGCAGCCGCCTTCCCCTGCGCCCCGGTGAGCGCCCCGGCACCCGCCGGGACCCACCCGTCCATTCCTGCTCCCTGAGTCACGGCACGACGTGAGCCAGGTCACAGCCGTGCGGGGGCAAAGGAGAGGTTCCCCTGCCGCGGCTGCACAGCCGGAGCCATGGACCCACCGGGAGCGAGCTGAGCTGGGCAGGGAGAAGGAGCAGCAACAAAGGCGGCATCATTTGTGCCATGGTGCCAGCCTGTGTGCCGGCCACGTGCTGCTTGGCACTGCGTGGAGAAAGGTGGGATTTACCTGAAGGAAAGGGAATGGTGCTTTCTCCTTGAACTGCAGGTCCGGGTGGGATGGATCAGCTGCATCCCCAAAGGAAAGCTCAATGCTTTCTCTTACATACTCATAGCCACAAATAACCTCCTCTCCAAAGCCCTAATCCTCCGGCAAACACACGTACGGTGCCACTCACCCAAGCTATCCACAGCCTCTCCATCCACCACTTAGTCGTAAGTACAACCTGATGCTGGTTGAAGAGGAGTTTCCCCATGGACTCCTCCACTGTCTGCTCATCAGCTGCTAACGGGCCAGCTGGGCACTGAGCCCATGGCCATCCACAGGACAGCATCTCGGTGTTCAGCATCTGAAATTAAAACAAAAGCACAAGAAAAGCAGCTTCCAATACCTAAAGGGGCTGCAGGAAACCTGGAGAGGGGCCTGGGACAAGGGCCTGTAGGGACAGGCCAAGGGGAATGGCTTTAACCTGCCAGAGGGGAGACTGAGATGAGCTCTTAGGCAGAAGCTCTTCCCTGGGAGGGTGCTGAGGCGCTGGCACAGGGTGCCCAGAGAAGCTGTGGCTGCCCCATCCCTGGCAGTGCTCAAGGCCAGGTTGGACACAGGGGCTTGGAGCAAGCTGCTCTATGGAAGGGGTCCCTGCCCGTGGCAGGGGCTGGAGCTGGAGGAGCTTTAAGGTCCCTTCCAACACAAACCAGGTTGGGATTCTGTGATAAAATACACCCAGTGCTGCTTTGCTGGGCTTCTTCACAGGGCGATGCTGCAGCTCTCCAAGCACCAGCTCCATGCCCAGGGCACGTGTGCTCACACACACTTCCGAGCTTTACCCATTGCCCAAAGCAGCCACCTCAGGGCTGAGAAGAGTTGGGGGATTTTCCCCTTTCCCAGTGAAACCCTCGGTCACCATCTCCAAACCCCAAACCAGCCCCAGAAGCACCAGCACACAGGCCACAGTGGGGCTTTGGGTTAATTTTAAACCCCATTGCAAGAGCACGTATATGTGCTGTTTAGAAACAGATCTTGCTCTTTACCCTTTGGGGTCTGAGGCTTTTAGATGAAGAGCAGTCACAGTTTAAGTTGTCCTTCACCAGTGTGAGGTTTTTTCCCTTTTAAGATAAACCCCAAGAATCAAAAGCTTTTGAATTTGACTGAAGAAAGAGTAAGGGGAGAGAAATCACCAGCATTGATGCTAACAACTTAATGCTACACTTGCCAGGGGCTCAAAGGACATTTCAACCCATTGCAGTGCCCCTCCAAAGGCCAAGTGCCACCCATCAGAAGGATGGAAAGCCAGAAAACCCCTCCCTGTGTGCTCACCACGAGGGTAAGCCCTTGGGTGCTGCGGGCTGGGGGGTTCTCCCCATTTCACTTAACAGCGATGCGAAGGTGGAGTTTGGATCAAAGGCAACAGGAGCTCCCCCTTCCCATTGACAGCCGGTGTTTCCATGGGTAATTTCAGGCCTGGCCCCCAGCCAGCTTTTCAATCATACCAAGGAGCACATCTATAATTTCATCCACCTCCAGGGTACAAACAGCAACGGAGGATTTTCATACGTGCTTTCTGCATCGCCCTTCCCACTCGCTTCCTAAGGGGCCAATGCACATAATTACCTCGGCTGGCTACATCCAAGCAGGATTAAATGCTTTACATGACATTATCTCGCAGCAATCCCATTAGAAGGCTGCCTTTAAATGTATAATGTGGGGGTTTGGGTACCAACTTACTACCACATGCCAAAAATCCAATGAGAAAATTGCACCAACAGTCTGTGAGCCATTCTGACCCATGGGCACCCCTGAGGTTTCTAAGTCTCAGGTGAAGGCTTTGGGCTGAAAACAGAAGGCTAAAAGCTGTACAAAGATGCTGCTTTCCTGGTTGAGAGGCAGGACCTTTGACAAGGCAGGAATTAAGCTGGAGAAATTAAATGTAGCAGAGCAGACGGAGGAGAAGCAAAGGGAAGGGTTTATGGCCTTAAAATAAATCAGTGCAAACTCTGAATTTCCCATTTATTGAAACCAATCACAGTTAAAAGGTCAAATCCGTTGGCAAACAGTAGTTTTGTATCATCCAGAGTGACACACAAATGAAGTACAAATGAAATCCAACCCAAAACAAAAAGGAGAACCAAAGATGCATGGCTCAAGCTTAGTTTATTCGTGCCTGTTCCCTTTGGCTGCCCTTCCAGCAGCTTCTCCAGCAGGACCAAAGGGTGATCTGTGACCCCCGCCGAGAGCCCCATGGCTGTGGGGGGACTGAGATGCCAGCAGCAGCCAGGTGATCCAGTTATTCCTGCTTCAGGGTTGAATGAACCCGCTTTGACTGGAGATAGAAGCATCCTTTGCAAAGAAGGAGGTTTGGTTTCCAGCATCCTTCTAACTCATGCTCATCCCTCAAGCGTGCTCCAGGCACTGAGCCTGGACGGGACTGATCCTGCCTGGGAATGACCATTCACCAGAAGATGCTTGGAAAGCAGAGGGGGAAGAGGCACTACACACACTGCGTGTTTCTGGCTCTTCAGGGAGGATCATTAATTGCCCCTGATGAATTATTTCATCCTGGTGTTGCTCAGGAAGACGAGAGCTCCCGGCACACTCCTGATTCGGCTCCAAGCTCTTCTGTGGAGTAACAGGCCAGGAAAACGCTGCATTGGCTTTGGGGAACTTATGGACCATTGGAACCAAGAACCACAAACCAGCCATCGCTTGATAAGGCCAGACACAGTCACAGGCCCACATGGAAACGTATCCTGCTGTGCACTGGTCAGGCAGCACTTGGACAACGACAGGGATGACCACACCTTGCCTTTCAAAGAGTACATGCTAGAAAACACAATTCCCCTTTCCCGTTTGGTTTTTTCCCAGAGACACAATTCATTGGCTCAATGCCCCAGACAGGAGAGAAATTGAAGCAAAAATGACATTTCCCTTTCAGAGACATCCCAAGAAAATTCTGATTTATTTGCCTGGACTATTCGCATCCATCAAACCAAATACCCTAAAACATTCCCAAGCACCCGCAGGATACAGGAGACCTCGATCCCACAGAGTGCTCTATGTGCCCTAACGCCTTCACCTGCCTTTCAAATTAAAGGGATTCTAAGGAACGCGCTCCACTCAAATGCCTTGTTCTGACCCACAGACCAGCTTAAACACACGACAGCGAATCTCTTCTCTTCTACAGAACACAGATGATCGAAACCCAGAGCAACCTGACTCGGAGCAGCCGGCCCAGTGTGGAAGGGAAGGACAGGGTGACCTGCAGCCCAGCCAACGTGTCATCCGACAACCTCCCCAAGAGGACAAGAACATCTGGTGGCGAAAGGAAACCAGGATCTGCGAGGAACCAGCCGTACTTGTGCTTTGAAAACCACTGACATGACATTGGAGGGGAGGAAGAGATATAAAATTATAGGAAATCAACACCAAGCCAGATCCAAAAAAATATATACAAAAGAAGTCCAGAGGGAATCGTGTGTCCAGTTCCAAACGCCGCTGCACAAATGGCTCTGAAGTCTTCTCCTGGGGATTGGAGCATTGTCCTATCCAAGCCCAACATCCAAGGACATCATCACCACAAATCCCAGTATCGAGGTCCAGGATGCCAGCTTCCCGTTGCCACTGAAGAGAGAAAAGGGGGAGGTGTGAGCTCCTAGGAGCCGGGAATGACTTTTCGGATGAGGGAATCATAGAATAGTTAGGGTTGGAAAGGACCTTAAGATCATCCAGTTCCAACCCCCCTGCCATGGGCAGGGACACCTCACACTAAAGCATCTCACCCAAGGCTTCTTCCAACCTGGCCTTGAACACTGCCAGGGACAATCATGAAACCATGGAATAGTTTTTGTTGGAAGGGATCTTAAAGCTCACCCAGTTCCAACCCTTGCCATGGGGGTTTAGTCCCAGTCACCAAGGGGGTCTCACCTGGTCTGTGCCTCGGGGATGATATCATCCATCACCACATAGACCATTGCTCCAGCAGCAAAGCCCAAGGCGTAGGGGAGGAGAGGCTCTGCCACCACCACGGCGAAGGCACCGAAGATGCCAGCCAAGGGCTCCACCATCCCACTCAGCTGCCCATACCTGCAAAGGACAGAGACTAAAAAGCAACCAGGGGCAAGATGGCACAGCCCTCCATGGGCTCTGCAGCTCCCTGTCCCCATGGTCTTCCCTAATGCTACCACATCCAGGAGGAGGTCACCACCCAGCCACTCCACGCCAAGCCACATGGACTGCTTTAAACGGGCAATGAAGGTGATTTGACCTAATCTAGATGATTTTTCCAGGAAGGGAATTAAGGTATAATCCAGTTCCTTCCATTGAAAAGCTCTGAGGGATTTGGGGATCCAGCTCACAAGCAGAGATGGGTCAGGGAGGAAACACTTCCAACCAGCATCACTCAGTCCCAGACTGGCCATCTGCCCACAGCCTCAACCAGGATGAAACTGCGCTCTTCCCCCTCAGTTTTCTTTCCCCCTAGGAGTGTTTTAACAACCCGGACCACGGGAACTCCCTTCCCAGCAGCAGCAATCCCGGTGCAAGCCCCAGCATCGGCTGCACTGGAGGTGGGTGGAAGGAAAAGAAAACAAAGCTTTGGTGGGAGCCGTTTCCAAGCCCTCCTCATCCATCACCCGGCCGAGCACACGTGCATGGGCTGAGTGCTTGCAGGGTTCATGCCCTTGGCTTTTCCACCTTGGGAAAAGGGAAAAGGAAAGCCAAAGAGTGGGTTTGAAATCCAGCCCGGAGTGAAGTGAGAGAAAAATGAAACAAAATCATATGAGAAACCCCCAAAAACTCTTTAGGTCAGGATCTGGGAGCTCACCACAGGCACTCTGTGGGCAGATGAAGCGGGATGGGGTGATCACCAATGCATCCCCCAGGAGCTGGGGGCTCAGAGCTGAGCTTAGGCACTGCAGAGGGAGCAGGGTAGCACTCACCATGCCCCTCAAAGCTGGAAACCAGCAGCATTCCCAGCAGCAGCTCTTGCGATGCCAAAGGGGGACCTAGCAGGTCTGGAGCAAGCCCATCCCAAGGGCAGCTTAATGATGGAGCAACGCAGATGGATACGGAAAGAAATCTATAGGCTCATCAGGAGCTGCTGGTGGAGGGCTCTTCATGGGTGAAGAGGAGCTCAGCTTACCAGAATGCTTTCCATGTGGAAAATCCAGCACCACGCAAAGGCAGGCTGACAGCCAGGCCCTCCGGGAAGTTCTGAATCCCAATCCCGATCGCCAAGTTCCTACCCACACACAAAAGCACAAATACACATATACATTAGGTGAAAAGCACAGCCTGGGGTAAGCTGCAGGGAGCTGGATTAAAAAAGACATTATTAGAGATCTGCTTTTGAATGGAAGCACACCTAGCCCTGGGGTAGCCATGCTAATATTTAACATGAACACAGCAAACTTCATCTTCAAATAGCTCCACAGCGTTTCATCAGCTTCAGCACCAGCCCTGGGAGCAACAGAGACCAGATGGAGGAGAAGAGACTTGTCCTGGGAGAATCCATGAGGTATTTCCAGCCTGAGGCTTCCCAGGAGCAGCGGCATCCCTGGACCCGGGTGTGTGGAGCAGCCCCAGGCTCGTGGGTTTGGGGGTCTTCAGTCCCAGAGGTGGCCGGTCCCTCTCCCATCACCTGCCCTGCTCTCACCAGCACCATCCTCAGCCATAGCCTTACAGCCATGGGGAGCCTGAGTCAGGTTAAAGCCATTCCCCCTTCTCGTGTCCTCACAGGCCCTTGTCAAAAGCCCCTCTCCAGAATTCCTATAGACCCCTTTACCTATTGGAAGACTGCTCTAAGGTCTCCTTCCCCTCTGCTCCAGGTCCCTTCCAGCTCAGCTGGAGTTCTGGATTTTTGTTGAAAACCAGGAAATTGGGATATGGAATTTTCTCCTTCACCAAAGGAACAAAACCGTCACAATCACCAAATAGGGTCAGGTTTTATGCCATGTGCCCCTGAGGCTGAGCAGCATCATGAGAGCAAATAAGAACCTGTTCCATAGTTGAAGCATTTCTCCCATCCTACGTCGGTGTGTCTGGGACACTGGGGGTGTCAAAGCTGCAGCCGTGAGGTGCTGGGCTATGACCTGCCCCAGCCCACAGCTCCGACTGGCACCCCAGCACCTCTCTGCAAGGTCAGTTCCTCCTTTGCCAGCAGCTGAAAGCCGCCTTTGCTGCTTCAAACACTTGTTTCCTATTAGTAAAATAAGACCGGTGAGAAAAACCTCTCTTGGGTTGTTTAAACTTCTACCAGGGTTTACAGAGGAGGGGAGGGGAAGGGGGAGAGGCTGCGGCTTTCCCTAACCAGGACAGGCCATTACAATCAAAAACATTATTCAAGGCAAAGCGGGAGAGAGGACGAAGGGGGAAAAGCATCCCTTTGAGAAAACACTGGAGCCGCTGTCTGCGCGCGGGGCTCTGTTCCTCCTTCCCTCGCCTCCGCACAAAGCAGCTATTACTGGCCCCGACCACAACAAATTAATGGGGTGGGAGAGGGAGGTGTGAATGGAGGGTCTGTACAGGGAGGCTGGGAGCCCCTCCTTGCCCCGGTCCCACCGGGAGGAGGGAATCCCACTCTGACCCCTTGCCCTGCAGCAAGCCCCAAGGGACAGGAGGAAGGGGAACGAGAGTGCATAATGGGGATGCTCAGCATCAAACAGGACCCATGGGGCCAGGTCACCCACTTGCCCCAGCTCTCAGCAGGGAGGCAGCGATGTGTGCCCCCTCCACGTCAGGATTTTAACCTGTTTCCCCAAGAAAAAGGTGCTGGCATCATGCTGGCTGGGTGCTGGAGTCAGGCACAAGCACACAAAGCTTCGCATGCGGCATGGCAAGAAGCAAGGGCCACTGGAGACCCAGTGCCTGCCCCATGCAGCGCATCCCATTTTTTCACTCCTCCCTCGGGATATCCATGGGCAGAAAGGCCCTTCCAGGCTCAGCATCATGCTGAGAAGGTCCCCATCTCATCTCCTGGCCTCCAGTCCCCTCCCTGTCCCCACAAAGGTCTTCTGCTCACCCAGACCATGCTCCCCCATCCCTAGGACCACTCAACCCTCCCTCCCACTGCAGCTCTGCCTGAACATTTCTTGGACTTCGGGGCCTTTTGAGCCTTTCCCAGGACACTAATCCCATCAGGATGAGGATAACTCCACGACAACATGCAGGCCAGGAACACATAAGCCTTCCTATTTGCTTTGCCTCGGGTCACTGCACGAAGGGTACCTCCACTTCAACTGCCTAGAGCAGCATCTTGGGAGACATCCAGGAGCTGGAGGCAGGGGAAATTTCCCTGTGATGCCCCAAGCGTGGAACAAAACCATCCCAAGGGCTGTTCCTCTCCCCCTTCACCTCACACCTTGTCCGCAGCTCCCGTGTGGAGCCGACGGCAACGGGGCTGGTGAGAAAGCGACCGAATCAAAGCTGCATTGTGTACGAGGGAAACAAAGGCGGCCTTATTACGGAAATAGGTGGGGATTCTTGGAAGGCTTCCCCCGACTGCAAAGAAACACATTGTAAACCAGATGCACAGAGACAGACTGGAACTGCCCGGCCCAGGGGAGCCGAACCTCCGGGTGACCACGGCGAGATACGGGATACCGAGGAGGTGACAACAGGGAGGGAGGCAGAGGGACAGCCCTCAGGATGAATGTTTAGAGGCATGAGGGTCTCTAAAGGGGGAAGGTGGGGAATAACTGCTAGGGAGGTGTTAGAAGCAGATCCCATGCTGTCTGATGGGCCACCCCAGCTACAAGACATTTTGCAGGTAAGAATGATACCCTATGGCTCATCCCCAACCTATAAACATGAACTGGGCTAAAGAAAGGGCAGTCCAGGAAAAACCACACCAGACTTTGCCTGGGGATGCAGCTCTGCCACCCTGGCCAACACAGGAACGTCATTGGGCATCTCCTCCACTTGGGCATAAGGACTCAAGTGTCCTTGGAAGCATCAAGGAACAAGGAGCCAACACGCATTAGACGTGTTACCTTCCCCAGCTCTCTGCCTCAGCTTCCCCATCTGCAAACCAGCAGTGATAACAGCTGTATCCTCCACAACCTGGGAACAGAAAGGCCCCTAGCACACATACCACCTTCATGTATGCTCTGCAGCGCGCCAGCGATGCTGGGATGGGGCTGCCCTCGCATTGACTGATCCCCGTTGCAGCAGGGCCCAGTGCTGCAGTTTTAAAGAGGAGCAGGTAAAACCCTGTATCCTGGTGGAACCCCACCAGGGACAAACTCCTCCATCTCCCAGGAACACACTGGGGCCGGACCTCCTACCCCCGGCTCTCCTGCCAACCGCTATGGCACCACGCTGCGGGACTCCAAGTTCACTTTCAAACCCAAGTTGGCATCTCTGCATATTTGCAAGGTCAAGGCACAGAAAGCCTTCTATAAGCCTAAACCCTTGTTTTCAAGGGCCTATTCTTTTACAAACTGATTATGAAAGCAGGCTACATATTCTTAACAAGCCCCTTTTCACGACGGCTTTCAATTCCCTCCAGTGTATAATGTGCATGTGTATTCTTGCATGGCAGGCCCTTACATACTGTTTTGATTGTTATCGCCTTGCCATGAAAGGGCCGATTGTTTGGGGTTCCCGAGATTACATCACGGCTCCCACTCGGGCGCCCGCCGAGGTGTTTGATCAGGGCCCGCAGGTGGGAAGCGGTGAGCACGGGGCCCGCAGCCTTTCCCCGTACCTGCCCGACCTGTTCAGCACCGCTCCGAGGGCCCGGAGACTCCCGAGGCTCTCACGCGATGGGAGCTGCAGGGACAAGAGGGCTGGCAGCATCCTCTCCACCGGCCCCGATGCCAATGGACCACGGTCTCGCCCCGAGGAGCAGCCTGGTCCATCCCCGGCTCCTGGCGAGTCGTTGCTTTAGGTATTTTAAAGACTACACCATGGTTTGAGTTGGAAGAGGTCTTAAAGCTCATTCAGTTCCAACCCCCTGCCATAGGCAAGGACACCTTCCACTAGAGCAGATTGCTCCTGCAAAAGCAGGTGGAGGATGCTACTCAAGCAGATTTGCCCTTGGATAACGCAGTAACTTTCATCTCAACCTCTCAAATCCCATAAGGAAAAAAGAAATGGATGTAAACCTACTATGCCTCTTCCTCTGGGGTGCAGCCACCAGCCCCATTGCCCATGAGGACACAGAAACACGTGGAACAATGCGTGTCCCCATCAGTCAGGGGATGCAGCGTGTGCCCCAGCCAGCTCCTGGGAGCGGGGAAGCTCCTGTTGGGTCCCTGCTCGAGCCACATGTGCTAGTCACATCCTAATGTAAGCATCTGCCCTGCAGCTCTGCTCCTCAGTAGCCACTTCCATACCTCTTTCAACCTCTTCCCACTCAACCACTGGGCTCTAAGCGCTCTGCTGCCTGCTCTGTGTCACATCTGCTGGCCTGGCCCCCCGCCAGCCTCAAGCACACACTGCTCTGCATCCGCACAGGGAACACTTACAGTCTCAGGAATTTTTACCTTTAATTTATCCCAAAGGCACACAAACCAAGTTCAAAGTCATAAAACCTGCTCTCCCCTCTGACTGCAGCGACCGGGACGTGAACTTGAGCTGAGGAGCAAGGAACTCTCCAGCATTCCCAACACAAATCCATAGAAGAGGTGCTGCAGAACACCCCACAAGAGCCGCAGCGCATGTGAGGTTTGCCACACTGAGTACCAGGCTTGGATGTCCCATAGGGCTGGAATATCTCCTCCCCATCCCAGCAAAGCCGGGGGGGGGGCTCAGCCAGAAGGACATGAGCTCGGACACCCCCTTGGGCCATGCCCTGATGCCAGTGGCTGCTGCAAGAGCAAGTTCAACCCCTCAACACCAATACATGATGGGAACCACGGGTGGTTGTTCCACGAGGGCAGGCACGTATCCAGCCCCCGATCGCCTGGAGGGTCCCATCATCCAGGGACTATTTATTCCTCTGGGAGTTTAAAATCTTTATTCTTATCTTCTCGGTTATTTATGTAAGGGTTTGATTTATGAGTCAGCCTCACGCACAGGGTAAAAGTTCACATCTCCCCCGATCAGGGAAGCACAAAGACACGTTTCATGAGCTCCACACGCTCCTGCTCTCTTCTCCCTTTCTCCATGCTTCGACCCCACGGTGCAGCAGGAAAGGCTCAGGGAGCCTTGGTGCTGGCTCCTGCTCCCACAGTAAGAATGCCAATGGGACCTGTGAGCACAGGATCTGGCCAAGCCTTCCCCAGCTCAGGCTGGTAT